TTTTTTATCTGAATTTTTCCCCCTACTGAAACAAATACCTCAGAGAAATCAAAGTGTATTGCATCTGCTTGGTTCCCTTGATCAATCAAAAGTGTACTCTCATTTAAGGATGAAATCGGGTTTATTTGACAAGACGTGTTTTCCGTAAACCATGTTGTTGACTGGCATTAATTATATTCCTATCGGGTTTTTTTAACTAATCCCAGACCAACTTTTCCATTCTTTCTTAGTTTTGTAAAATCTTTCTTTAAAACTTTCCCTTTTTTTATTGAATAGTTTATGTTTTACCCAGAACATGTCCTGTCCCCCTCCCCCTTTTTTTTCTTTTGTCTCTTCGGCTGCCTCAGTGTGTACTTCTGGTTATGAGTGAGATGTGCGCTTAATCATTCAGTTCGTAACTCTGGTGTTTGGAACTCTAAGATTCAATTGTAGATGCTGTTTATTGCCATCCTTGACTGCTAATGGACTGGAAAGTATTTCATCATCTTATGTGATATATGTTTCTCATACTGCTTCTTTCTGAATGCAGAACACAACTATATCTTGAAGATATCTACCTTTCCTGCAACATTAACAAACTTTGTTTCTCCCTCAGAGAATTGAGCCATACCTTTTCTAGGATTTCTTTTGTTCTCAATATACTTTTATAACCTCCTTTTTGTAATCCTTAAACCTGCGAAGCATGGATTTTTCCATGACGTTTTTAGCATGCCTTATCAATTTTCATAAATTCCAATTTGTATTATTTGCTCTCTATTTTCCCTTTTCCCCATATGTTATATATTGCTTCCCATTCCATCCTTCCCCCAATTGCTCCCATGAGAACAGTCCTCAGTTGTGCATGTAGTGTCTCATATTAACATTTCCTCTCCATTCAGGCATTGGTACTGCAACCATCATCATAGAGCCTGGGCACATACACAAAGTCAGAAGAACGTACAGTACATGCAGGAGACACCGTTCTGTCTCAGAGTTGGACACCTTCTCCCCTACTCCATGTCAAATTCTAACACTTCAACTGACTTCACCAACCCCTCCACCTTCATCCTGCTGGGCATTCCTGGCCTGGAGGCGGCCCATGTCTGGATCTCCATCCCGTTCTGTGCCATGTACGCCATAGCTATCTTGGGGAACTTCACCATCCTATTCGTCGTGAAGAGGGAGCGGAGCCTCCGTGCCCCCATGTACTATTTCATCTGCATGCTGGCTGTCACCGACCTGGTGCTGTCTACATCCATGCTGCCCAAAATGCTGAGCATCTTCTGGTTCAATTCAAGGGAGATTGATTTCAGTGCCTGCCTCACCCAGATGTACTTCATTCACTCGTTCTCAGTGATGGAGTCTGGGATCCTCGTGGCCATGGGTTTTGACCGCTATGTGGCCATCTGTGACCCCCTCAGACATTCCACCCTCCTGGCAAACCCCATGGTGGCCAAGATCGGCCTGGCTGTGGTGCTGCGTGGTGGCATGCTCATACTGCCCTATCTAATCCTGATGAGGCAGTGGCAATATTGCGAAACCAACATCATCCCCAATACGTACTGTGCACATATAGCTGTGGTGAAGCTGGCCTGCGCTGATACCCGCATAAGTAGTTACTACGGCCTCTTTGTGCTATTCTTTGTGAAGGGTCTGGATATGGTTTTTGTTGCATTGTCCTATACCCAGATCCTCAGGGCCATCTTCCGCCTCCC